CAGAAGGGTTATGTTGTAATTTTAAGTTGGCAGCCGACAATAAAATCTAAATCGGAATCCGACCTTAGAAATGACAATGAAACCATCAAATGTTGTACTAGGATTCAGGGGGCTGACCATCAATGCTTTCTATAAATACCTAACTTAATCAATTACCCTCATAAACTCCACCAATATCCCTCTCCTCAAATTAACTATACACCAACCAAAACACAATATAATGGCCAAGAATGTTGCTGAAATGACCAGTTTGGCCTCCCTCGATCAGAAGCTAGCCATTGCCAAACGTTGTTCTCATGGTACATAACTGTCTTTGTTTCTTCGTACAATACAAATACTAAACAAACAGTATAATGAACATATCTGTATGTGCAGAAGGTGTAATGGCGGGAGCCAAAGCAGCTGTCATGGCTTCCATTGCTACTGCGATTCCTACGGTACATCAATTAAATTAATAGTTACGGGCTTTGTTGCGTGTTTGATGAATTTAAACTTATTATGGACCTACTTTTTACTGTGTTAATTGAAAAAGTTGGCGAGTGCAAGAATGGTGCCTTGGGCAAGAGCCAATCTCAATCCCACCGCTCAAGCTCTCATCGTCTCCACAGGTTACTAAATTATTTGTTCAGTTTGATTTACAGTAATATTTATTTGTTCAGTTTGATTTATTTTGATTTAAATTACAGTGGCTGGAATGGCATATTTCATTGTGGTTGACAAGACTGTTCTGGCTACAGCACGTCGAAATTCCTTCAACCAGGCCTCTCATTGAACCATAATTTCTATTAACTTTGTTTTTCGCAATCAGTTATGTAATATTTATCCATCTTTTACCGCTTTCAATATTAAATAAAATTTGCTCTCTCTTCCACACTCTGCACATACATAAATTGTATTATTGTCTAATTCGTCGGGTCTTTTCTGGTTTTTTTTCTTTCTAAAAACGATGATTCTAATAGATATCCTGGTCGAACCACTTTTCACCCACCCATTATAGACACTCGTAATGTTAAATAATAGAATGAAAATGCACGAAAATCTTAGGAAACTCGTATCAAATATGTTTTTTTTTTTTAAAAATAGACAAGTAGACACTTTGAGATTGATTGAATAGGAAACTACACAAACGGAGTGGGCCAACTCATTAATCGAATTGAATTGGGAGCTGTTTGGTCGGTGGTTATGGACAGTTAAAAATATGTACAAATGCACTGTATGTATCTCTCTTGCATAATGGAGAGAGAGAGAGAGAGAGACTGCATTGATGCTGTCTCTTGTAAAATCAGCAAAGACATTTCTATAGAGGGGGCCTTCTGCATTCTACATCTGATTAGACCATCTGTCATTCAGCCACCATTTATTTTCCTACGCCCCACTCCAACCCAATTATCTTTTTTTTTTTTTCAAATACCGAATAAATAATGAAGGTTTTAATTCAAGTAATTAAAAAGCCGTGAGGAACAACGAACCATCTCATCTTTCCTCTTTGATCTACTCCCACTCTTGGCTGCAACTTTTTGTAGTTATTGTTACCTACATGTGTGCCCCTGAGACAAAACATCTTTTTTCCTTTTAGGAGGGTGCTCCAAGTAGTGATTACCTCGTAGGACCTACAGAAGAGTCCAAAACTGAATATCAGAACTCCTTGAGTGGTCTTTGTTCAGGAACTATATGAATGCTTGGCTTGGGTACGTCCCTTGGTACTGGAGGGGTGTGACAAGCGGTGTGTATAGGGCCTGAGTACATATTCACCATGACATACTGATCCGAGAGAATAAGAAATTGTATAGGGCCTGAGTACATATTCACCATGACATGCTGATTCGAGAGAATAAGAAATTATTGCAGAACGAGAATGAAAAATATAGTCATTATTGGGGTTCACATAAGAGAGAAAATTTGAATTTAATATTGATGTGATAGATAACGGTCATATTTTTTATTTTAATGAGATAATAATGTAGATCAAATAGCGCTAAATACATAATCTTAAATAACAGAAATTTATTCTTTAATGATGTTAATTTGTCATTGTCATATTCTCTCTGAAAACTTTATTGAGGAAAAGAAGATTGCCAACGTCACGTCGTTTAATGTGATAGATAACGGTCATATTTTTTATTTTAATGAGATAATAATATAGATCAAACGGTGCTAAATACATAATCTTAAATAACAGAAATTTATTCTTTAATGATGTTAATTTGTCATTGTCATATTCTCTCTGAAAACTTTATTGAGGAAAAGAAGATTGCCAACGTCACGTCGTGTCTGAAAATTGAAATGTGAAAAAGAGGAGTGGCAGGATTAGGGTCAGTGGGTGGCAGGCTTTTGAAGAGAACCACTGAACAAAAGTTAAATGAGATGCTACGTATAAATAATGATGTACACACGAATTTACCCTCACGTGGAGGGGGACATACACACAATAAAATATTCGTGGGCTGTCCTTCATGTGAGGAGGTGTAAAGCCGCGTGTAAGCCATGAAGTGTACACGTAGCATTTTTCAAGAATTAATTGGTTTTGTACGAGAAAAGTAACAATAGATGGAAAATGAAAATCTACATATTTATAAATACATCCCAAACACATTCATAGTAATTCAAGTTGTATGTGATTTTTTAGATTAATGATAGCATGTTAGCCCCCGTTTGGCCCCTATTATTTTTTATTAAATTATAATTCATTTCTCCCCATTCTTATCAATTATATATTCTTTAATAAAATAATATTACACGTAAACAAAATAAAAAAATTCCTCCCTTTTTAACAACAAATACTCTAAAAAAAATTATTATTCCTCTTATTATAACATGGAATAATGGGGTCAAACGTGCGCAAAAAGTCGAATTAGACATGGATGAAACTAGTTTGCTTATGTAAACGAATTATATCATGTCTTGCGATAGGGGTCGTTACAAAAAGTGTACACTTATTTTTGCAGTTGTAAATTGTTCTATATATGGTTAATTGATGGGACGATCGAGCCCAAATCTTAATCAGCTATTAAAGCTAACCTTATGTAGAGTGTTTCTATTTCGTTTAGGGTTGAATCGGACTTTATTTTGACCCCTGGTAGAATGGCAAATCTCAATCTCATTTTTTGTTTATTCGAAGTGAAAATTGATTGTTTTAGTGATAGTGTGTAAAAAAGTAACGGAAAAGTATGTGTCAAATTGTTAATCTGTGAAAATATAGGACTGGAAATAAATATAAGAAAAAAATATTTTCAAATAATCTATGCCAAACAAGTCCTAAGTTAGTAGGTCCATTTTGATACAACCATTGCAATCAAGAATCTTAATTTCTCTTTTTCTTTTTATTTATACTTATTGTTTTGTTTGTTTGATAAGGAATCTATGCTACATTTTCATGTTAAAATTGAAGAGAAGAAAAAGAAAATAAAATTTCCCTGAAAGACTGTCCCATTCAGAGAAACCCTCTAAAGGTATCCTCTCCAATTTCTATGAAAACGCATAGATAGATATATACCCTACACACATATCCTACAGCTAGACTTCAACAGTCCAAAAAAGCCAACAATTCTTTTCTTCTTCTTCTTCTCCTCCTCCTTAATTTTTCTCCTGCTTCTGCATTATCATTTATTTCCTTCTTCTCTCGAAATCAAATGATGGCTGATAAAGAAAGCTCCAAAAAGCCAATTGTTAATAACAACAATAATAATTCTAAGAAAAAGAAGAAAAAGATGAAAATTGATACCAAACGGGCCCTAAATTACCCAAAGGATTAAGGGAGATGCTACGTGTACATAATTATGAATATATGACTTTACCCTCACATGAAAGGAGGAACACACACAATAAAATATTCGTGAATCCCTCTCCATGTGAGGGGGTGTAAAATCGTGTGTAAACCATGAGGTGCACGCATAACATTTTTCAAGAATTAATAGGTTTTGTACGAGAAAAGTAACAATAGAGGGAAAATGAAAATCAATATGTTTATAAATACATACCAAACACATTCATAGTAATTCAAATTGTATGTGATTGTTTAGATTAATGGTAGCACGTTAGCCCTCGTTTGGCCCTCATTATTCTTTATTAAATTATAATTCATTTCTCCTCCTTTTTATCAACTTTATATTCTTTAATAAAATAATATTACAAGTAAACTAAAAAAAAAAAAAAATCCTCCCTTTTTAACAACAAATTCTCTAAAAAAAATTACTATTCCTCTTATTATAACATGGAATAATGGGGGTCAAACGTGCGCTAAAAGTCGAATTAGACATGGATGAAACTAGTTTGCTTATGTAAACGAATTGTATCATGTCTTGCGATAGGGGTTAAATTGTTCTATATATGGTTAATTGACGGGAAGATCGAGCCCAAATCTTAATCAACTATTAAAGCTAGCCTTATGTAGAGTGTTTCGATTTCGTTTAGGGTTGAATCGGACTTTATTTTGACCCCTGGTAGAATGGCAAATCTCAATCTCATTTTTTGTTTATTCGAAGTGAAAATTGATTGTTTTAGTGATAGTGTGTTAAAAAGTAACGGAAATGTATGTGTCAAATTGTTAATCTGCGAAAATATAGGACTGGAAATAAGTATAAGAAAAAAATATTTTCAAATAGTCCATGCCAAACAAGTCCTAAGTTAGTAGGTCCATTTTGATACAACCATTGCAATCAAGAATCTTAATTTCTCTTTTTCTTCTTCTTTTTCTTTTTATTTATATACTTATTGGTTTGTTTGTTTGATAAGGAATCTATGCTACATTTTCATGTTAAAATTGAAGAGAAGTAAAAGAAAATAAAATTTCCCTGGGAGACTGTCCCATTCAGAGAAACCCCCTAAAGGTATCGTCTCCAATTTCTATGAAAACGCATAGATAGATATATACCCTACACACAGATCCTACAGCTAGACTTCAACAGTCCAAAAAAGCCAACAATTCTTTTCTCCTCCTCCTCCTCAATTTTTCTCCTGCTTCTGCATTATCATTTATTTCCTTCTTCTCTCGAAATCAAATGATGGCTGATAAAGAAAGCTCCAAAAAGCCAATTGTTAATAACAACAATAATAATTCTAAGAAAAAGAAGAAAAAGAAGAGAGGCGGTGCCAAGAGGAAAATGACCCTTGAACAAACAGTGGCGTACAAATCAATCCGTGAATGGGTTTTCTTGGACCGGTCTAATGATAATAGCTTTAATTCAATGAGTCTTTTTGATTCAGTTTTGGATGATTTTGGGGTGCAATGGTACCAGCCAAAGGAAAAACTTATCTTTGAATTTCACTGTCACACAACATGCAGTGATGGATTCTTGTCTCCTTCCAAGCTTGTGGAGAGAGCTCATCAAAATGGGGTGAGCTTTTCTTTCATTTACCATTTTTTTTGGGGGGTGGGGGTGTTCTTGATTTGTTTATAGTGATGGAAGATGGGTTTTCCTTTGAATTGGTTTTGGTATACATTTGAATGTGCTATTTCTTTTTTCTTTTCTTTTTTTCACCCTGTTCATATTCAATTGGTGTTTCAGTTATAAACAAAAGGATTTGATGATTTTTTGGATCAAGGATCTGACATTTTTCCCATTTTTGTTAAATTTCATTTTGGTTGACTTGTCTTCTGATTGTCAAAGTTCTCCGTTTTTTGCTTCTTCTTTTGGATAAGTTGGGTAGTTGATTGAATTGTGACGAATTCTTCCCTTTTAAAGTTGCTTATATTTATTGCCCTGCTGAAGTACTGTTAAAATTAACGCCTTTTCTGTTTAAGTCAAAATTCTATAATCCAAGGTGCGTTTATGTATAAGCTCTACTTTTGGAGTCAGTTGAGTACATAAGTCAATGGAAATTGGATAGTGCATAGACCATCAATGATTCCTGTGTGCTCAATTAGTGTTGGAATTAAGGTTTGAAGTCTCTGGTCTCCACACATTAGACAAAACCAGAGCATTCTGATCTTGTAGTTCAAATGTCATAAGTGCAGAACACGATAATGTATGTGAAAACTTGACAGCTGTGTTGTATGAATTGGATAGAAATTTTCAGAATTACCAAGAAAGATCCTTTTTGTAGGTTTATGACACTCCTTGGGCTATTTTGTTTTGGCTCAATTTTTCATTGTGAAGGGGAAGGAGACAGAGTTAGGTTGTAAAACTTATATCATTTTTTCCTTATCCATATGCCATCTTTTCAACTTTATCATCAAAGTTGTCGTCATAGAAGCACGGGATACAAGTTGTTTGTCTTATAGATGTGTCGTCTTTGCAGATCTTCTACCCCATCAATACATTCAGTAGCATTTTGCTTTCTTTTTCAATTCTTCCAGATCATTTATTCTAAATGTGCAAAATATTGAAAGAAGAAAAATGTTAATAGTTAATCAACTGTTTAGGCCTACCAAATGGTCATACTGGCAATTAATTGCAAAGGTACTACCAGAAAGGCAAGAAGAATGGAAAGAAAAGGAGGTCAATGTATATTAGTTTACATGTAAGCAAATACCATTCTCGTCGTCGCAAGGTCAGAGCTTTCTAAAATTCGATACTACCACTTTCCAAGAATATGTATTTGTTGGTGTTCATTGAGCGGCTTTGTTTTTATTTGTGTGTGTGTGGTTACAAAAAGAGGTTAACCTGTTTTTCCTTTTCTCTCTGAAGGGATGGGAGTAAGGGGGGTGCGTAGGTAGGAGTTTGGGATAGAGGGTTCTGTAGTTCTTTCTTCCACGTTAAATAATGACTTCTTGGTGTTGGTCCTGCAACCTTCTGGAACAATCTAATAAACCAATAACGAAATTGTAAAATAACTACAGCCCATTCACCAACATTGAGATCTGAGAGGAACTTCACCATCATCTATAAAAATGAATTTTAAAAAATATGCAGAGGAATTTTTGTGAACCAGGAAGCTCTATAATCACATGAATGAACAGAGGTAGAGAGAGACTGAAAGTTAATGAGTAGATTAACATATATACCATTTGTATGAATCTAATTTGATTGTGTCTGACAAAAAAATCTGAGAGAAGATTTCTATAATTCTGTTTCTTGTGATTATTAGATATATCATGTGTTGTTGTTGTTCTATCCTTTATCTTTAATGCTGTATATTCTGGTTGTATCATGATTATGTAGATAATATACCCTGCATTTGTTTGTTCTTCTTTCATTTTTTGGTTTCTATCAAGAACAGTGTAATTTTATCTTTGAGGAAAAATTATTTTCTTAGAATCATCCTTTTTAGAGCATAATTAGAAGTGCTATTAATTTGTAAGCCTGTCCCTATCAGGTCAAAGTACTTGCTTTAACAGATCACGACACGATGTCTGGCATCCCCGAGGCCATGGAAGCAGCACGCAGATTTGGTATCAAGATTATACCTGGTGTTGAAATTAGTACAATGTTCTCCACAAGGTTATTGTTTTGCTCTGTATTCATTTGCTTAATTTTTACCATTGTGTTAGTGATTATCTAGAATGTGGCAATTAGTTCTTGTACTATGTAATAATTTTGTAAAATGACCAGCAGAGGGGAGTTGGGACCAAAAGAACCTGTTCACATTCTCGCATATTACAGCAGTTGCGGGCCAAAAAAATCTGAGGCATTCGAGAAGTTCTTAGGTAATATTAGGGATGGACGCTTCATCCGTGCGAAAAACATGATCTCAAAACTGAACAAGCTCAAGATGCCTCTTAAATGGGACAATCTAATCAAGATTGCAGGAAAGGGTGTTGCTCCTGGGAGGCTTCATCTTGCTCGTGCTCTGCTTGAAGCTGGCCATGTAGAAAATCTAAAACAGGCTTTTACTCAGTATCTTTATGATGGTGGACCTGCATATTCTATGTAATATTTTTGACATCTTCAACTTACCTTTTTGAAAGCTGGTTTTATGTTTTCAAATCGTCAAATGTAAAAGTTTTACCTGTTCTTTGGAGCAGGGGAAGTGAACCAGTGTCTGAGGAAGCAGTGGAATTGATACGTGAAACGGGAGGTGTTGCAGTGTTGGCACATCCATGGGCACTGAAGAATCCTGTCACCATCATCAGAAGACTGAAGGAAGCAGGACTACATGGGATAGAGGTTTATAGAAGCGATGGAAAACTAGAAGGTACGTACATTATATATCGAATTCTTCTACCTCTCATGTAATTCACACAAAACGTTTATAATATTTTTTTTAAGCTTAACAGATTTTAATATTGAAGTTATCAGCTTATTGCTGTACTAGTTAATGGTAGATTAAGTACCATCACCGGAGGACTAATTGACATTCCAACTAGAGATTCTAGAATTATAATGTCCCCGCCCCCGCCCTTCCAAAGGGAAAAAAGGAAATGGTTTTCAAATGACACCCTACTGCAGATATGGCTGCATAGGTCGTATTCTGATTAGCTGTTTTACATGAGAGTCATTGAAAAATGATTTCTTCTTGGCTGTTATTTAATTCAGCTGCGAAGAATTCTACTTTGTAAGGTTTCCTGTTGATATTTCGATTCACCCTTTGTTTCGATATCAGTATACAGTGATTTAGCTGAAGCACAAAATCTTTTGAAACTTGGAGGATCGGATTATCATGGGAGAAGTGGTCAGCACGAGTCCGAGGTGGGAAGTGTGAGTCTTCCAGTGATGGTGGTGCACGAGTTCCTTAAGGTGGCTCGGCCAATCTGGTACAATGCCATCAAAGAAATCCTTGAAACTTACGTAAAAGATCCCACCGACACAAATTTGAAACTTATTACAAGTTTTGGACAGACGAAGGTTTCAAGGGGCATTCCAACTTTCACCTCTGCCAGTGATTTCATAAAGCAATATTTATCGACATGGCTGTCAAAGGAAGAAAGAGAAAGCACAGAGTTTGAGGCTATAAAATTGGAGCTTTCCCATATTTCAATCAGTCAAACAGAGTTGGAGGCTCGTGCAGCAAGTAAATAATTTCTCGGGAGTTTTTTTTCCTTTGTTCGTGTGGCCAAAAGTGCCTAGAAGAGTATTTTTATCCATGGATTTATGGGCAACTCTCCTTTCACAGAGTTCTCAGAGTAATGTGATACATTTTCGATATGTTCAGATAGTTCTTTTAATTTTATTTTCGTAAAGAGCTAAAAATTTTATTCGTCATCATGTAATTCTTCTTCACAGTTGACGGTCACCCAGATTTTCAAGTGTTGATGGATAAATGACATCAGTTTGTTTACTTATTCTAAACTTTTATCAATACTAGTGGTATGCACGTACAATGTACATGCTTTGGTATTTTTAAGGTAATGTTGTATCAAATATTAATAGAAAGCTAAATTATTGTGAAAGTTCAGTAAGTTTTTATGTAACATAATAATTAGTAAAATTTCATGATGATAATATTCTAGTAAGATTTAAATGAAAAGTTTTTGGTAGCCAAAATTTTTTCCAATGAAGAATCTAATGGAGACAATATTAATCTTTCTAAAATTGCTAACGTTTGACAACTCATATTTATGCTCTATACCAAAATATTTATAGTACCCACTGAATAAAGAAAAAAGCTTAGTGGAAAATAAAGGAGTGAAAATATTATTTGATAATCATAATGCCAAGGAAATGCAAAGGTAGGTTTGACTTCTGCGCAGATAAGAGAATCCTTCAAGTTTTGAGCTTCACTAAATAAGTAAGAAAGTTATTTTGAACACTAATTAAGTAAACAGTGGATTGTTTCTGGGAAAAAAGCTTCACAGAACAATAAATGGTGGATTGCCCAACAAGCAATAAGATATTCAAAGTTGAGGGGACAGTGCTTCTCGTGGGGGTTCGGGGGCCGATGGAGATCGACTGACCGGTTAGGTCGTGAGGGTTAAGGGGGCAGTGCCCTCGAAAAGAATTCTGATTTATAAACAATTGTGAGTTTTTGTAATTTTTTTTAATGTTTTTGAATTAAATTATTAATAAGTGAAATTGTATTTAGTTTGTGAAAAATGTAAGCAAATGTTATCATCTAAATTTAAAAATAAGTGTTTGTAAATTTGGTTAATGTCATTTTTGAATGTATTATACAATTTTGAAATATACGAGATATAAATGACTTTTTTTTTTTGCTATGTGTTTATCGTATATTATTGTTTCTACTATAAAAAAAAAGTCCACGCAGTGCGGAGTATTATTTGAGGAAATTTATTTATTTTTTGGATTTTTTTTTTAACTGTTGGGAAAGGGTAGAAAGTCAACAATTGTGGGCATGTGGTAGGAAGAAGTTCAAATCACCCTTAAACCTTATATGAATAGTAGATGATGGATACGGATGAATTGAGATTAAAATAGCTTCATGAATGAACAGTAATCGACGGATTATCAATAAAAAAAAATTAGTAATTTTTTTAGGAGTGATAGTATTGGATCGCATGAAATTTGTGGGAGTATGATGATCCTGAGAGGGTTCGAATCGAGTTCCGTTTGGAATTGACCAATATAGGTATGTGATCTCAACTTGAAAAGACAGTAAGCAGGTCTAGGAATGTATTATGTTCTCTCCCATAGCAGAATCATGCTACAAATTCAGGCTCAAATCTAGGTGGGACACGTATCGAAGTCACTGTTTTTCACCCTGGCTAAGTGGCTTTACCCTAGCATAAGCAGTTCCTCAACTGATTTTCATGGGACCAGTCTAATCCACCTTTCTCTCCTCCTGCTTTAATGTCTAGTTTATAACTTGTCCGTGTCCTCGTTTTGTCCACAATGTCTCATAATAGGATAACAAGTATCAGTCTTGAACCATGCTACACATAGGGGGATTTTTTACTGTCTCCCTGTATAAAATATATGAAATAATTTTCTGTACATTAAATTTAAAGTTAATACTCCATCAATTTCATAAAGACATGTTTGATTACAATTTTTTGCCCATCTCAAATTATAGATTATTTTCTTTATTAAATATATAAATATTTTTGAGTTTTCAAAGATGCTCATATTTAATGTACATTATTATCAATAAATATAAACTAATTTTATTTAAATCATTATTTAATATATGCATATATTAGTAAAAATTTATATTTCCAACAATGTTAATTACTATATTTTATTAATATGTGTGAAAATACAAATAAACATATTTTTATGGAATGGAGTTGGTAAACAAAACAACACTGGGTGTTTTCTTTGACGGAAGAAAAAGTACAAGTCTCGAGTCTGAAGGCCTTGTTATGAGGGTTTTTTTGAACATTTACGATGTTATTTTGGATAACTTTTTACTTGTAAATAAATTTCATTATTTTATAAATATGTATTGAGGACACTTTTGACAAAAGGGAAAGAGCAAAGAAATTCCTTTAAAATATTTAGGGTTGGACAAAACTCCAGAATCGAATCGGACCGGAACCGAACTGAATTGAGTGGTTACTATTGGTTTCAAATTTGTATGCTTGCTTAAAACTTAATGTCTATCTTTCAATAGAATAATTAAGCATTTCCATTAATCAGTTGATCAAAATTGTAAGATAATAAGCAAACAAAAGGCTAGTAAGAGCTACAGTGCCTTCTGTCTACAACTGCTTAGGCAATGATTTGAATGTTAAGGGAAGTGAATTTTGGTGAAAATTTTGGGGTTTATGATTGGAAGCAAGTAAAAAGTTCTGGGCGAAGCTTGGATATTCTTTTTTTTTTTTTGGATATCCATGTATCCCAACTTACACCAGACTATGTTTTGGACCATCCATCCCCGGCCCCTCNGGATATGCCCAAGTTGACCAGGGTCTGTGCACTCTTTATACTCCTGGCCCCAAGGGAGCCTTCCTCCATAGATATTACATCACCAAGCTGCTCCACCTAAATTGATTATTACAACACTCAACTGCTCCATCCAGGAATCTAACTCCCCACCCTGAGGTTGTAAGTCCAGCAATGCCAGTCCTTTGCCGACTCGGATGTGCCCGGGGGGCAAAAAGCTTGGATATTCTTAGTTGACTTTTGGGCGGATGGTGAAGACTCGAGAGAAAGGGTAAAATTTGGTTATAATTTTTTTTTTTTTGGCTAGGTTGAATATAGTGAAAGGGAAAGAGAATGGATCGCAAAGGGTCTAAAATTTAACTTGGGATGAAGAACTCATAAAGCTGGGTTGCTTGTCGATAGTGTAGTATAATAAGAAGGGAAGGGGAAAAAGTGATGTTACGAGAATTTGGAGTTTTGTTAGGTTAGATCTGAGCCTTTGCTTCTTTATCTCTATTGTGTTTTAAGTGATATTATGACTACATTCAACTTTGAGCCTCCTTGATGCATTGTGATATCATTTTTACTTCGCCCCCGTTTGATGATCGTTATTTTGAGAAAATGAAGTTTTGAATAGTGAATTTTTCGGAGAACGTCGGTTTAAAAAATAGGAAAAAGTATTGAGTTTGCAAAATATTTTGTCCCTGTTTGATGAGCATTATTTGAAATTTTTTTTTTCTGCATACTTATTTTCAACCACACATTTATACAATAAAACATTCTGGACGTAAACTCATAACGTTTTCCTTGTTTTTAACCATACATTCTCCTAAATTTCACTATTCAAAACATTATTTTTTAAGAATAATGACCATCAAACAGGGACTTTATTGTGTAAATGTGGGAGTGAAAATGAGTATGAGAATTTAAAAGTTTAAAAATAATAGTTGTAAAATGAGGGCTTATTTACAAAGATGTTAGGTGCTAAGGTTGGACATCTCAAAGTCACATAGATATTTAAGTTCATCGATCACTATATCGGATACATAGTGTCAAATATTATTAAATAAGGCTGCCAATCATATTTGTAGTCTGTTGCAATTTGGTGCGAGAGCATCATGCCTTCTCCAATAGGTGGATGAGATATGGTAGAGCAGAATGTTTTGCAATTTGTGGGTGCTACAAAGGAGAGAGCATATTTGGTTTACATGGACTTCAAGTTCAACCCAACCTATACCAATATTCATATTTTTTTATTGTTTTTTCTTTATTATTTTTTTTTGATCGGTAAATAATTAATTATATAGATCAAACCTGAGTACACTGAGTACACGTACACCGGGTGTTCCCGGGCAAATCAACAAAGTAACAACAAGGTAACAATAACTACCCAGAGAGGGGTATTACAGACTCCATCAGTTTACCCTAAATACAAACAGTAGTAATCAACCCATAATAAGTGTTTCGTAACAAACCAAAACATTTGGATGCAAAGTGAACATAACTTTGTATACATTTGTTTTGATTCGTTGTACAGTACTATCAATATGCGGGGTAAGATTTTCAAAAACCAAACTGTTTCTTGTCAACCAAATATAGTAAACAGAACTAGCGAAGCCTATCCTATATGCTTTGTTTCTCCAAGATGTACCTGTAGCTTCCTTTTTCATCCATTTTAGTGCACTAGCCATAGTGGTCATGGCTCTAGTAATACCCAGCCATTCTTTGATGCACTTCCAGATTTTCGAAGTAAATGAGCAATTGAAGAATAGATGTTGGCATGTCTCATCACAGGATGCACAAAAACTACAATTTCTATTAATGTCAAGAAAGTGTAGCCTATCTTTCGTGAGGAGCTTTGATTGGGCTCCCATCCAAAGCACAAAAGAATGCTTAGGCGTAATGTAATTCTTCCATACCTGTTTTGTCCAGCATCTATAGGCAGCTTTCGGGCGGAAAAACTCATAAGCTTTATCCACACAGAAGTCGTCCCCTATAAACCCCATAATCTGGCCGAAACCACGTGTGTGTGTGTGTTTGTTGGCTTCTCTACAGTACTGGATAGAGTATGGCACAATTTTTCTCAATTTTATCCTTTGGATGAATGTTTTTGTCGGCTGTTTATAGGTGCTGCGGTGGAATCTAAAGCTCAATTAGTTGGAATCCATGAGAGAGTGAGAAGCGATGTTGAAAGCAACATTGCCCAGAGTCAAAATAATGGTTCTGTAGGAAATTCACATGGTGTAAAGCTCGTGGCAACTGCTGGCAACCCAAATATAGAAGATGCAGCAGAACTTCTGAGGTCTGTATATCAGCATCCCTTGTTGTAAAGAACACTTAACTATGGTTTTACTCCCAAATCTCGTCCCAAAAGGGATGTGGGGGATGTGGGTAAATGTGCTGTGTAATAATATATGCTTTGCTTGTAGGATGTGTGTTAGGTGTGGAATACCCAAAACATACTCTCATTCAAGAGGAATTGTCTGCCCTGGCTGTGGCGACCGCCCTCCCATGGACACAGACGAGCCTGTCAAGAAGAAAGAATCTACTATTAAGGATAAGGAAAAGAGTAAGAGGATGAAGGGTCAATCCTCACATGCCACTTGGAAAAGTGAGACAGAAATGCAACTCCTACAGCAGTTTGATTAGCAGTGGACTTTACCGTTTAGCCAAGATATGATCCATGCATGCTATTTCCTCCCCGTTCGTTTTTGATCAATTCTTTACATGGTACAGCATACGCAGAGGCATATTTGTTAGCGTTCGGATTTTAGATATTGGATCTTTATTTAGGACTTAATCTGAATTCGGTTGGTCATATTTTACTTCCCACTCCTAACACAGCTCGACAATAGCAAGTTTATGAAAACTTCCTAAAGACCCTCTTCTCCATCAAGGGATGTACGTGTTCAAGATATTGTCTATAACAAATCGTATATAAAGTCCCTTAAATGCTGCACTATTTTGAATTGCTGCAATAAGAGGTCAGCTTCGGCTTAGAAAAATGTTTGTTCGACCGTGAAGCATTGGTCGTTTGTGTCTCGCATCAAACACTACAATATGTAGAGCATAATTTCATATTTACTTCAGGGATATTAGTAAAATGTGAAGGAAAACAAAAAAAACCTTCTCATCATGGAAAGCCGTACAAGGTTAGTCGCCATACAGTAGGTTAAAAACCAGATTCAAATTTACAGAATCTACCAATTTAGCATCCAAGCTCGAGGCAACTGATATGTTTCTGTACACGATATGAGCTTCGCCAAAGCTAGAGAATTGTCGCAACGATCAAGAAACGATTTTCTCTGTTTCAGCAACAGCAGTTTCTTCATTATTGATAGGTTTCTCATCCGTTAAAGGAATGCTGGTGATGGGTCCATGAACCTGTTCATAACAGAATTTTAGCCCTTTTTACTTCGTACCATCTACTAGTGTTCAATCCTCATCGCCGAACCCACCATAAGATGTCATCAGGAAACTGTTGGACATATATTCATATACATGTAACTAAACACGAATTGAAAAATTACCATGCTTGGTGACCTGAAAGCAAATGAGTCATTGACAGGTATAGAAGACAAGTCTGAAGGCCTGTGAAACAGTAAGTGAGCGATAGACCGGTCTATAGGATTTGTGTCAGTTTCCATATCCATAAATCCAGTGCACCTGATGAAAAATTGTAACAGAGTATCAAAAGGTGTCATTATTTCAAAACGATTCCAAAGAAGAATATCAGTTACACATCTGGTTTTGCTAGAACTTGTGCAGTACAGAATACTAAAGAATAAAGATGCAACTAAGTGATACAGAAATGAAGATTAAACGTACTTGTTTGATCCCTCTGCCATGAGTGCTCCACTGGCATCTTTCTCATCTTTGCAGCCACCATTGGGGTTTGCATGGGTAAATCTTTGTTCAGCATTCCTAGCCAAACGATATAAACTGTCCCGTATGCATAATTTCGTTCTCATGTCCAACTAAACCAAGAAAATATTAACCATCATCAGTTTCAAGGCAGTTGAATAAGTAAACATAGTGCGAACACTGTAAAATTGATATCATGACATATAAGAGAGATGAAGACACTCGTATTTTCCTGGCTAATTTAAGTGACCCAGATCTGTCACCGTCTCTAACAAAAAATTATCAGACGCAAAAGCACAGACACACATATCAAGGTGGCAGTCACACATATATTCAGGGAGTAGCAGAAAGTCCTCCAACCTCTGTTTGGGGGCATGCTCTAAGAAAATTGTTCATATTTTGACTAAATTTGCTGACATATGCTCACAGATACGCAGGATTAAAGTTTTAGTACAGGGTATTGCCTATAGGATCTTAGCACTAACCACGTGTATATAGCATCAACATAAAAATGGATGTAATAAGAGACTCTTTATCACTCCACACAACATCTCTTAACTATACCATTCTAATAATCAAAACTTTATGTTAGTATCTCACTACCAATTATTGTTCAATTCATTTCCACATGCTTCACATATAAAAGTTCTCTCCCACCAATGATAGAAGACAATGAAATGAATAGGTCAAACCTCCCGGGAGCGGGTTACAACATCAAAAATACTTTTTAGCATAACAATTATAAAAGCAAATTATAAAATTCTGAAAAGGACGTCATACCTGTTCCATGACCAACTGAAGATGTTCGAAACTAGCTGCTTCAATTGAAATATCATCCAAATCTGAGTTCATGGATGAGCTCTCTTGTATATTTGACGAGCAGAATTCTGCTGGAATCACCATGCTGACTCCATCAACATCACTCTGATTTTCAAATTTATCTCCAGAACGGTGAACTCTCTTTTCTAGTGAAATGGGATCGAGTATGGTGGACTGACTACCTTGATGATTATCTAGCCTTTCTTTTTTTACACAGCCTGCTGTAGCAGCCACCTGAAATGAAGGATCGCCGGAATTTTGCACGAATTGACTGGAGGCATAGGATGGCTCCCTTGGTGAAAGGAATGCCAAGTCATCATGCTCAGATCTGATAGCAGATGAAGGTGCATGCACCAAAGTTTTATCTGGCAAATGACTGCTATCTAAATGCACGTAAGGAAAAGTATTCTGTGGGTAATCACATGAATCTGGAACTAGAGCCTTCTGTTGATGTTGACTAGCCATAGATTGTAAAGTTTCATCAGATGTGTCCCCAGAAGGAAGATGCCTAACTTCATTTGGCAGGTTGCAAACATAATAAAAACAACCATTTCCAGTGCATTGTTCTTTTCTTTTCCTCTGAGAACGGTTCTGTTGCTTTGACTGCTGTTTATGCTCATTGATCTGCACAGTGTATTAAACTCGAATTATTGTATTGTCACACTGGTTCAGTAAACTGTCTTTCATAGTGTCACATAAAGACATTTTAGAGACCAAATAAAGATTCACTATACCCACTTGCCCTAAAAAGACTAATTAATCAAATTTGTGCATTACCATTCTGTTGCTTCCAGTCTCGTAGCAGTTTTTCGTTGAAATATTGGGTTGTATTTTACCATTTTGTCCTATTTCCTGCAAAAAAAATTGCCTTGGATTGATGAATTATGGTCTCAGACAGTTTATATATCTGAAAAGAAAAGAAGCAGGGCATCAAATTCTAGTAGCAATCACTGACCTTTTCTGTGGGCATGACCTCTTCTTTTCTGTCAGATGTAGTTGATCCATTCACAAAGGACATACAAGAAGCAGATTCATCTCTCTCTGAGCACAAAATGGATGCAGTTGATCTGGTAGTATCATTAGTAGAATAGCTTCCATTTACCATTGAGGGGTCATGGTTTTCTGAAATATTTTCCATTGCCTTCGACTCGGGACAGAAAAACTTAAAATCTGACTTCAGAATATCACTGGATCCTCCTATAGCATCATCTGATGAAAACCAACTTAATTCATCTTCTTGATCCACCCCAAGTCCAAATGTTGAATTGCAACTTCTGGAGAATGCAATGTAATAATGAGAAACGTGCAATAAGAATTACAAAAGTATTTAATCTGCAATGAAGTAGAAATTACCTAAACACCCCGTTGACATCGTCAAAATTTCCTATTTCAGGCCAATCATAACATAAGAGATCGCTAGAATCCTCATCCTCAGGATTTTTGTCAAAGAAATTCAGATCGTCTGTTTGAGAAATGTCACCGAGCGGATAACTAAAAGAGTTGTTCTCAACCGCAGTGCACTCGTCATTGAGAGTGGGATCATTTGCACAAGCTTCGCTACCATTGGAATCTAAATTATTACCGTTGAAGCCATGACTTGATATTCTGGTATTGTCAGATGCCGCACTTGAAGCCTCTTTGATTGTGTCATGAACAGTTGGAGAGAGGAATGTACTGTGGGGTGTGCGAGACCATGAATCCTTCTCCAACATAGTGTTCTTTCTACTAATAGAAGCTGAAAGATTTCCTTGTTCTTTCTCCTGACCTACATGTTTAGCAGCAGATTTATCTCCATAACTTCTTGAAATACCAGTTACTTCATAGCGAGGTTTCTTGCAACTATCACCCTGAAAGGAAATTTCTTTGGCCTGTTCACCGGGATGAGGCACTATATGATCTTCATTCTGGTAATATTCATCCCAAACTATATCTTCGAACTGTTACGGCAGTTAGAGAATTTTAGCTGCTAACTGCAGACGATACTTGAATAAAATAAGCAAATAGTATTTGATTTATGGAAAATACTAGATGAAGATATCAAGAGTACATTGGAAGCTAAACATCAACCATGAATACAGTTCCAGGAGAACATTTTTGCACCAAGTAAAGATGGGAAACTTAAACCTCAAACAAAAGAATTCAAATCATACACGTACGTGTAATTTAAATGATCCTTTCATTACTATGATTTGCAGAACGTATTCTATCCAGCATGATAAAATGTAACTTAGAGCATCTATTGCACTCTATTTATAATGCATTTCATATTACGGGATATTTATGGTTTGCCTTTTCATCTGTAGCATGAATGAGTAGCCATTTTAATAATTCAAAATTTTACTGAGACTGTTATGAATTTACTAGGGAAACGTGCATTGACCGATTGCTTTACCCAAAAACAGGAGAGAGAAACAGGAAAGAAGGAGACGTGTAACAGGTGTACCGAGTATTTCCTGTAAAGATGAATAACCTACTGCTTCAGCACATTTTCTCAGGCAACCTTTCTGTTATAAACAGCTAAGTTTAATGGTAAGATCATCCAATTGTTTAAGCCGACAATTTTTTCTATTTCAAGTATGTTACAAAAGATGAACTTCTGCATTTATCGTGTAGTTGATGATTTATGTTCACAAGAACAAACATGAAAGCTTAGAAGGTCAGTCTAAAGTAGCGTGCATAAAGAATGTGTAAAAGAATTGACAGGCTACTAATAAAAAGGCCCTTTAGTTTCAAGAAAATGCAGGAATGCTTTCTCAGGCCTGATGATAACCTGAGTTTTTGGAATCAGTTTTCCAGAAGTAATAAATAGCCTTCGATTACAGTCCAGGCAAATGAAATGCTTCACATTACACCTCGTTGAAATAGGTATTAATAATTTGCCATTTACCATATATTTTTTTGGCGAGTAGAGTTTCAGAATTTAAAAACTTCGTATATGTTCAGTTCAATATAGATTACCGAACTGCTCCGCTAACCATAATTGTTTCTTTTCTTGATAAGAAGAAAAATAACTAATTAAATTGAAAAACTTCAAGCACAAGACGAACCTTGTTAAAATAATAGTTATTTATAAAACAGTAGCATAGGTTCATTATTTGAATTTGATTGCTATATTGGAGAACAATACAGTAGTGCGTCGAATTCATTAAACATGTTACGCTTGATCAACGATGATATAGGTTCCTGGAAGCACAAAAATAAGAGACGATCACTCTTAAGTTTTCCTTTTCCTCCATATCTTTTTCCCAATATTCTCCTTGTGACCCAATTTTTTTCATTATATAATATAAAATGTTTTCATTTTTTATAATTATGTTTCGATTCCAAAGTGTCCATGAGCATGTCTGCAGTACGTTCATAATGTATCCTCAGCATGTCAACTCGTTAATGTATTCCCAAAACATCTTGAATGTCCAAAATTACACCCTCGAATAAAAAAACGCGATTTTTCGCAAGGGGTCCAACATGTAGTCATGTGCCCCAGTGCCTGTCCTGGAAGGAACTTATTGAACACAAATGCACCGACTTGAAGAAAGTTTTTGTCCTTGCAAAGGTTTTCAAAACCTCCCGTAGAAAAAAAAATTGATGATACAGATAACAGTGTTATTCGCTTAAACACATGGTTGAGCAACTACTATACACTAAATCTACCAGAGTCAACTAAGTCAAGTCAAGTTAGTTCGGATATAATGAGCAAGATTAATTTATTCCATTGGCAAATAATTCATGTACGCATCTCAAATGAGACCAACTCTGTATCATCATAAAAAATCTAATGACATAAATCTTCACCAAAAAGCCAAATTTAAAGAATAATATTAACGGAGTGTAGTCATTTCTATATTCCGAAAATTAAAAAGAAAGGAAACATTAATTAAGTGAAGAAATGAACTGAAAAGCATATGACTTGTACAACAATCAATATGTTCCTATGTTTTTATTCCTTAGCTTCTAATCTCACCAAAGAAGGGAACAGATAAAGTAAAAATTTCTACTACATATTGAGTTTTATTCAGAGTTATGAACAGATTTGAGATAATAAAAGTGATCAATATTCCATGTTCTTTAGCTATCCCCCAATAATCAACAATAACACAAGGAATCGAGGGCTATGTGCAATTTTTATGTCTGAAGCGTTTTATTTTGTATTCTTGCAACATTCAACATTCCATCCTCCCTTATGCAATCTTGCTTCTTGTAGACTGAGTTTGGTGCATTACAACGAATATAATACATGGGCACAATCACTGCTCAATATTTAATCATAAGACCAATATGAAATTCCTGGCATAGTATAATTTCTTAGCTATATCTACCCTAGACACTGTTAACCCAATCAGTAGCACAACAGAGACTCTTTTTGGTGTAAACCCACAAGAGAGACTCTTTTTTGTTAAGGCAACATGTCTAACTAATTGTATGCGTCCATGATCACCTCAATTCTTATCTAATGGTCAAGCATGTAACACATATGAGCCATAAATTCTTCCAATATACATTTTACATTCACTTACAAACTCCTTTTCCTATTTCCAATTAAAATAATAGATTAAGGGTCTATTTTATAGCCATCTGCTTATTTATCCTTACTAGAAAATCAAATTGATAAATTCTCTCAAACTAAGCAATAGATAGAACCATACATTTTATTAGTTATATCACTAATAATTCTTATATGCTTAATGCATGATTTTTTCATCTGAATTTGTTGTTATAGAAACATAAATACGCACCAAAACAATTTCAAGTTTTGTGCTTGTGGTGGTGGTTTGGAAAGGGGCTTATTTTAACAGCAGCAATATCAAGGAGAGAAAAGAAGAAAGTAATGCCTGGGCAGGCAATCAGAAAAGAAATCTTACCCCGTACATGCACAAGTCTGACATCCTTCGTCTTTAGCCTGCACTGAAACTGTATGCAATTCCCTTCATTTTCAGAATCCAAATCTTTCTTTCATTCGCCAAGTCAACAAAAACAAAAATCACACCAAATGTAAGAACAAAGGATATCTAAGAAAACACACACAAAAATTAAAAAAATTATAAAGGAAACCTCAACTAAAACTAAAAACTAAATCAAGATCAGGGTTCCATAATCTTCTGGTACGACCTAAAAATTTGAAGAAATCGGCCAAAAAATTAAAAGCTTTTCCACAGAAAGTTAATAATATTAGAAAAGGTTCCACTCGATTGACCCAAAATATAAAATTTATTTTAGCAAAAAATTTAAATTTCAAGTATCTACAATTAATAAAAATAATCTCCACGATTTAATCTCTTCATTTACTTCAGTTTATCAGGAATCAAACAAAGCTTGATCCAGAAAATGAATTAATCAATCTAAACAAACAAGCAGAAAGAACATAACATTTGCAGGTAAAAGTACATCCAATACTTTACAACAAAACCTTGACTAAAACTCACCGGATAATACTATAACGCCGAAAAATCTTAACAGCTCGCTGGAAATGATTTCACTTCCCAAAGCAACCAAAAAACCCTAAATCAGATGGTTTGTAGATTTTGATAAATTTTCGATAGAATTTGGGAATATGAAAACGCTGAAAAATTCGTAATAGTTCACTGAAAATAATGACTTCACTTCACAAAGCAACCAAAAAAACCCTAAATCAAATGGTTTGGGGGAGACAAATCCCGGAGGTTCTAGAGAGACCGATACAGAGAGAAACCTTTTGTTTCGAACTTCGGAGGAGATAATTTTTTTTTTTTTTTCGGAATATTTTATTGATTTACTGAAAAATGAAAAAGAAAAAAGAGTCACAGATGTGTTGCCACGTGTATACAAAACAAATAAAGAGGCGACCGGTGGGGTTCAAAATTCGTGGACGAGAGAACGGGTCGCGATACGATCTGTTTACACAATCTGATTGGTCCACGTTTTCTTTGGGCTTTGAGAGATGGACACGTGGTTCTGGAGCAATATGTAGTACGGAAGTGGAAGGTTAAATTGGGCCGTTGATATTTGGTTTAGGCTTTGGTGGGCTTTATATTTGTGACTTCAAAGGTTAATGATCGTGCTAACTTGGTTTATTCAATTTTTAAAGGGAACAGTACATAATTACTCCATTATAAGAACACATTTCAATTTTCGCAAACTCCCTGAAACTTTTCATAAATCAAGTGATAAATCTTAATATTAAATATATAATTATACTATAATATATACTAACTTTGAATTATCTCCTATACATGATTTTCCCTCTTTACAAACCCGACGACCTCCTCTCTACAAACCCAGCTCACCGTAAATTTCTCAAATCACAAAAATTCATTGTTTCTCCTTGATTTCGAGCCACAATCAAAGAACAAGGTCACAATCCAATAAACATACTTCTAATTTTTATTGCTCTGGAGAAGTTGAAGCTGGTTGTGGCAGAATCGGATCTTCCTAAAGCAAAAACTGAACTACCGTGGTCCGATTTTAAAGGTAAACCTTTAATCAACGTTCTTTGATTGTGGCAACTCTTGGCAGTCCATAATCATAATTCTGCTCTACAAGATGGCATATACGTATCGATTGCTTTTTTCAATTATATCAATTAAAAGTTCAATATATCAGAGATGAGACACATTTATTTATTAATTTATCTTCAAAACGTTCACACAAGTGCCCCTGCTAATGGACAAATGAGTGATGGAGAAGGGCTGTGTAACAGACATTTATTATGACTTTGTTTATGATGATTGCGACCATCCGTGACCATTTCCGGGGGAGGACAATAACAGAAATTGATTGTGACTTTGTTTATGACGACTGTGACCATTTCTGGGAAGGACTGTGTAACAGAAATTAAATGTGACTTTGTTTATGACCATCTGTGACCATATGCGATAATTTGTGACCATTTCTGGGAAGAGCTGTGTAACAGACATTGATTATGACTTTGTTTATGATGGTTGCGACCATCCGTGACCATTTCCGGGGAGGACAGTAACAGAAAATGATTGTGACTTTGTTTATGACGACTGTGACCATTTGTGACAATTTGTGACCATTTCTGGGAAGGGCTATGGAACAGACATTTGTTTATGATGATTGTGACCATTTCTAGGAAGGGCTGTGTAACAGAAATTAAATGTGACTTTGTTTATGACCATCTGTGACCATTTGTGACCATTTCTAGGAAGAACTCTATAACAGAAATTGAATGTGACATTGTTTATAACCACTTGTGACGCTCTGTGCCAATTTGTGACCATTTCTGGGAAGGGATGTGCAACAGAAATTGAATGTGACATTGTTTATGACCATCTGTGACCATTTGTGACCTATTCAAAACTTGCACGTATAAAACATTACCTTTATAAAATACTAAAATGACATAAACAAAACCACACAAAGACCAATACTTTCACCTCCATTGTACCAGCTACTTCAGAAAAACAAATTCACGTTCATTTTCAAAACATATTACAAAGATAAAAATAACATCTATCGACTACATCCAAAAAAACACCCATTTCTCTAACTTTCTACAGCTATCAATCAACCTAATCTATCATGAAAACAATTCGATCAACAGTAGTTCAATTATCTGACTTTGATTTTCCCCTTCCAACCTGCCTCGGTTGTTTATTCTTGAACAGCAATGCTGCAATTTCAAGTCTGCAATTTCATTCATGATCAACATCGGTCGACCGTCGACCCCATCATACCGTAATCCAGTTACCAAGCAGAATTCAGCAATGGAGAATCGGATAAATCTCCCATTTATATTGAACCACATCTCCTGCTTGTTTGGTTGCTTTACCTTCCGTTGTAAAACGTAGTAAATCAATTGCGGTTGCACTACTATCTCCCTACAGTCCATGTAGTAAGATATACATTGCTTGATGTGGTTGTTAACTATTTTAATTTCCCTGGATCTTAGAGTAGAAACTCTTAAACATCGATTCTCACATTTCAGGAATGTATCCATTTCTTGTTTTTGTTCCCCATCTCAGTCATTTTGCCGTTTTTTATGGTGTTGTAACATGAAATTCAATAAATAGTAATGCAGAAGAACAGATTGACCAAGGAAAAAGTTGTTCATCATTTCACACCTTCAATGAAATGCATATATCACTCAATGTTTTTTTAACAAAACAGTGAATAAAGATTGAATATACATGGAGATGAAATGGCTCCTCACTATGACTATATGACATTTCAAGTATCTAACACGAGAAAATTAGAAGCTGGAAAAGCGAGCCAGGTAATGGGGGGACAATAATAACACGAGATCATTCCTTTTTTATTCTCTGTAGACTAACAGAAAATTCATATGTTGAGAGGATACAAGAAATTTCATCCCATATATCTCTAGTATAAATTTGAAAAGAAGAGGTCTGATTTCATTTTATTTTGTTCCAGGAAGTTGCAACAACTTATAGGGAAAAAATAGAATGTATGTATGGTAATAGAAACATGTCAACAGTAATAAACGATCTCCTAAATGCATCAAGGAAACTACTGTTATCTGCTAATTGATTCATAATTTTAATGGCCTACAATTAGGTACAATCTACAATCATAACCAACAATGAGGGTAGCGATGAACTAATGATAAAAACTAGTGAAGAATAAATGCATTTAACGTATGATTATGAATAATAATACAATAGTTTCCCAGAATGAAAAGCAATTAATGAAGTCCATCTCATAGTCCTGGAGAGAACACCAAGCAGAAAATGAATAATAAACAGAAATTCATAAGGTATTATAGTAAAACAGTGACGAAAGAGATGAAGTTGTCCATAGAAACTTGGTCAGTAACAACGTCGATGAGTTCTAACTCATGATCACACCATTTTCTTATACCATTCAGAATCCGAACCATCACAGCATAACTTTTTGAAGATTGATCAGGAAATTTGATATGGAAATTTGATAGATGCAAAAGAGGCACGCGTAATGCAACAGCTTCTGGTGAAACATATATACTAACAAGAGGCCTGATTTTTGCTAGTGGGCATGTGTGTGGAACCTTTACTGTTTCTATGAATTATAAACAAGCAAATGCAATTCTCAAAAATATAAGCAAGATGGAATTATATTTTTTTGGCTGGAAAGAAATTTTGTTTCTTTCCTAAACCATCACTTGCAGAGCCTCTAAATCCGACCTAAAAATAACTAAGAAGTACTCTATTTCCTTTTATCTATCTAACAAATATACACACCCAAAGCTAAATATCATTATTCGAAGAAGTAGTTAAGTAATCAGAAAACAATTAGCCAAATCAATTTAACTAACATTCAGTTAATATTATTCAATGGAGAAAAGAATTGATGTTCTTACTTTAAAAATTACTTTGTAACTACAACTAATTCCAAAAAAATTAATGCAATGGGGATGAATGAAACAAAAAAACGTGAGACATCTAACTTTCTGGAAATTGTTTGCATATTTGTAATTTTGATTAACCAAGGGGATGGGAAGAAGATGGACGGGGGAGAGAAGACGGATGGGTGGAGAGAAAAGTCGCCGATAATTGTGAGGAAGAGGGAGAAGATAGATGGCTAGAGGGAAGACGGACGGGTAGGGTGAGAAGTGAATTAGGATGAATAGCTCTCAGTCCGATTTCGCATCTACCTTTCACTTGAGATATAGGTGAGTGGTGGTTTGGTGGTGAAAACAGACGAGAGAGAATGATTAGGGAGAGATTTGAATTGGGTGGAGGGGGTGAATAGGTAAATTAGGTTTAATTATTAAAACCTAATTAATACCCGATTTGTGAAATAAAAACCAAACCACCTGATTTTTTAAAATTAGTCTTTAAATGTAGGTTTCTAGGTAATTATCTCATTTTTAAATAGGGACCTTCTTGGAATTGAGGGAGGTAAACAGGTACATATAATGACGTTTTTTCTTAATTTTTTAAAGAAAATACTTTTTAAAAAGCACCTTTTTTACTAAAAATAATTACTAAGAAATGTATTCCACAAGTCCAATTTCTAATTTTGTCTTCTTGATCGAGGTACACCTTGGAAATCTTAAAATATTGTACTTTGATAAGATAAGATAAAATGAATTGAATTATAGTGTTCTTAAGAAGCAAAAATAGAAGTAAAAATCAATTTGCATCTCTTCATTCGAGAGGTTTTTGGCCACTTTAAAATTTTAAATCTCTATTTTACACCACCATTGAAATGCTCTTATAAATCCTAGATATTCATGTATTAATATGCTATTGATAATCATTTCGTCATGTAATGGCCGAAAGAGAAACTTGGAAAGCGACATGAATTCGTCTTACATAAAAATAATTACAAAAGTCAACATCACGATGCTCCGATTGTTCAACTTGTCTTCAATCTTGTTCTTGTCTATAGCACTTCAACGTATGCTTCAAAATTAATAATTTGGTTTAGCTATAATAAAAATCTTTCCATTGTTGTTAGAGCTTATATTTAATTGATAAAAGTAGGAATAATTACCTGACCTTTGTAAAAGGTTTTCGAATGTCATTTAACTTCAAAATTTTCCGTATTAGTCACTGAATTTTACAAAATGTAACATCATTCATCACTGAGAATTTCAAAAGTTTCTTCGTTAGCAACTGAGTGATAGATGAGATTACATTTTGTAAAGTTCAATGATTAATAGAGAAATTTTTTAAGTTCAGTGACCTTTTTAAAAGTTACGCAAGGTTCAATGACCAATTAAATAATTAACCAATCTTTATGTTTTTTAGTCTTTTTCTTTATTTTTTTTTTATTTTTGTATGTACATTCTACCCCCACAATTTTATTCTCTCTAGTATTGTTAAAGTTAGAAGAAAATAGCCTTATTCCGAAAGTAAACAACAAGGTTGCCGTATACCTCTCTAAAATTAAAGAAAGAAAAAACTAAAAGATTTATAAATTACCTAATTACTCATTGAACTTTATGTAAACATAGATAGAATTAGACCGATTCTCGAAATTCATTTCTGGATGGATATTCGTCAATGTCTAGGTTATTCACATATTTTCAAAAGGTCACAAAACTTCAAGTTTCTTCCTATTAGTCTTATCAAAAAAGTTTCTTCCTATCAGTCACTGATATTAACAAAATGTAATTAAATTCATCACTAAAAACTTTAAAACTTTTCCCATTAGTCATTGAATTTTACAGAATATAATCTCATACATCATTGAATGAAGGATGATATTACATTTTGTGAAATTCAGTGACTAATAAGGAAACTTTTGAAATTCAATGACTCCCAAGAAACTTTATGTAAAGTTTAGTGGCTAATAAGGTAATTAACCCCATAAAAGTAAATATTTGGGTAATTAACACATAACGTCCTTACCTTTCATTATTATTGTAGAAACATCGTTACCTTTAATTTTTTTTGGCACTTTCACTATTCATTGCGCAAAAAGTCATTTTTATCAATTTTCTCGATTAAAAGCCCTGAAATGACGAATAAATTATTCTGTTTAAATAAAATAAAAATAAAAAGAGTGAACTAATTGTAATTATAATCCAAATTTTTTTAAAAAAAAAGTGTAAATGAGTCTCAAAAAAATTATTAAAAAGGTAATTAGAACATAATGTCTCTATATTTTACTATTATTGTGAAAAATATTCATACTTTTCATTTTTTAACATTTTCACTCTTAATTATACATTTGATCGCGCAAACCATAATTTATACCAATTTTCATTCAATTTATTAATAAAAAGATGTGAAATGATGAATATACTACATTATTTAAATAAAATAAATAAATAACTAATTGCAATCATAATCTCAATGTTTTTTTTAAAGTGCAAACGAGTCTCAAATAAATTATGTAAAAATTAGAAATTAATTTTTTTTAAAAATGCAAACGTGTCCCAAATATATTATTAAAAAAAATTAGAAATTAAAAAAAATATTTTTCTTTATTATTTAAATATGGGGTATATTCGTCATTTTATAATTTTTATTGAAAAATTGAATGGAAATATATATAAAGGGCTGTCTGCACAATTAAATATGTAATTATGGGCGAAAATGTCAAAAAATGAAAGGCATTGACGTTTTTTACAATAATATTGAAAGGTATGGACATCATGTGCTAATTACCATTTTAATAATTTATTTGGGACTTGTTTGTACTTTTTTTTAAAAAAAAATTGTGACTATGGTTACAATTAATTCTTTTTTTTCTACATGTTTTATTTAGGGTTAATTACCCAAATAGTTACTAAACTTTATCGAAAGTTTCCACTAGATCACTGAACTTTAAAAACTACGTGGTTAGTCACTGAGCTTTCGAAACTGCAACTCTATCCATCATTGAACTTTAAAAATCACCTCATTCATCACTAAACTTTGCAAAAAATTTCTCAGATGGTCACTGAACTTTGCAAAAAGTTTTCCAAATGGTCACTGAATCAGTGATCATCTGGGAACATTTTTGCAAAGTTCAGTGATTCCATAGAAATCTTTTGCAATGTTCAGTGACTTATGGGGTGATTTTTAAAGTTCAGTGATGGATGGGGTTTCAGTTTCGAAAGTTCAGTGACTAACCACGTAATTTTTAAAGTTCAGTGACTTGGTGGAAACTTTCGATAAAGTTCGGTGACTATTGAGGTGATTAACCCTTTTATTTAAATAGAAATGTATATTTGTCATTTCACAGCTTTTAATTGAGAAAATGAATGAAAATGACATTTTGCGTAATGAAAGGTGGAATAAGGATGAAAATGTCATAAAATGAAAGATAAGAACGTTTTTCACAATAATTGTGAAAGCTTAAGACGTTATGCAATAGTTATCCTAAATACTTTGGGGTCAATAGTTCAAAATAATTTTGACCTACTTTTAAGTGTGGTCAAATGTCCTTTTAATATAATCCAATCTTCTTTAAGACAACTCCAAGAACAGCATCAATGACAATCTTAAGCTCAAAAACAGTATCATGTATCTAGGAATCACTTTCCTTTGAAATTTACGAATCGATGAAAAGTTGACAAGTCGCACGGTAATGCGATGCCTTTCTGAGTATGATATCCATAAACCTCTGCGGCTTTGAAGCAGTTTTTGGACCTTTGGATTCTTCAAATACGATGTGGGAATCACAAATCTTTGGAATTTTTCACCTACGTAAACCACGAAGTACCCCTTTGGAGTTCTTTTATCTTCAGCTTCCCTTGCCTGTATTGTGCAATTGCCCATAATTTCTTATAACTTCAAAGTAAGACTACAAGTGTGTAGTTACATGACGAAAAGAGTTTGAGCCATACACATATTTATACAAATTCAAGAAAGTTTAGCACATAAACTCCAACAGTAAATTACAGTAGCCAGCTGAAAATGTTGACAACGTGGTATTTATCAAAAGAAATAGGGATGTGTTTGTCTGGTGGGGTGGGGTGGGGTGGGGTGGTGGTGTAGGGAATGAAGGGGAAATATGGCACAANTGAAGGGAAAATATGGCACAATGATGCAATGACCCAATGGGCTGAAATTGTTGGCCCAGCTGGTATTTAAATTGAAGCCCAACTCTTAATTCTGTTTGGGTTTCGGTGCAAAGAAAAAACGTGTTTTGTGAAACTGAAGTTGTGTGTTCTACTTACCTTTTGAATGGACGGCCCGGATGTCACCAAATGCAATCTCCACAGCCGTTGGATGAAGGGCGTTTCTGGAGACTCCTTAAAGTGGCGTCTCTAGGGTTTGAGGATAATTATTGCTTCTGGTTTCTGGACTCTTCGTCTCTCTCTACTGCACCGTTTTCCTTCGTATTTCCTTCCTTCACTGTAGAAATCAAATACTCTTATTTTGATTTCTGGTTACTCTCAATAATCTGTAAATCTTGAGTGATTTCGTTGTTTGAGGCTTTGTTCTTGAGTGAACTGTGTACTGTGAAGAGGGATCTCTTATTTTGTGTAATAAATCGGTCTAGTCTGAGTGTCCAATCCTTGTATCTTCATTTTGGCTGTGATTTACACTAGATCAGTGGTTGTTCTTATGTAATCTGAACAAGTTTTACTGATTACTTGGCTTGGGTGCTTTGAACATAAAGATAAGTTTTATGTAGTTAATTTTTCAGATTTCTGAGTTCATGCTTTACAGATTCTTGAAGTTTATATTTCAGTTTTTGTTTCTTATTTCTTCCACATAACTTGGGGTTTTTTTGTGAGCTAATCTGTCGTCTCCTCCCAACA